TCTGTAAAGCAGATTTGCTCAAAGCAATGTACAGTGGCAGTAACTTTTGTTGCTCCAGTCCAGTCCAGTGCACGTTTCTGACCTACAGAAAAGTACAAAATGTTTCCATCTTAAATGATGAATTTCAGCTCACTGGAGTGGTATTTACTTGTACAGTATCGTGTTTGTAGAGACTCTTTGATTTCACTTAAGAGCTAGTGATTTAGCAAGCATCAGATTTCACACTGGTATGAACTGATACATTCAAGTCACTTGAATAGCTGTCAAATCTTTAGATATGAAGGGAATTATAGTCTTTTTTTCTTTTAAGTGGATTAGCCTAAAATATCAATGTTTTAACTGATCCTTTATGGCTGCTACCTATCAAATTAAACCCACAAACTAAAAGGCAGTAGATCATTGAGATTAAATTCTAGCTTTATTAAAGCTAGAATTAGCTTTAATTAGCTTAAATTAAAGCTTTTTTATATATGAGCTCAAGAATACAAAAGCCAGTCACTTGTAGATTTGCTCTAAAACACTTTCTGATTTCCAATTCAAAATGTAGTTGAAACAAGTTCATACTCTATGAATCATAATTAAGTCTGTATATGGGTTCTCCTCACTCTGTCCTCTGCTTCTGGATATATGAACAGCATATGAGAGGATCCTGCCCTTATTAGAAGGTTTTCCTTTAGTTTTTTTGGCCTACCAACTATGGAGTTGTCCAAAATCAGGCTGGAAGAAACTGCAGAGGTTACTTAACCCAACCCCAGCCCTAGGGCAGGGTTGGTCATGCCTGGACAAATGCTTGTCAAAATGGTTTAACCTGCTCTTAAAAACGTTATGTGATGGGATTCCTTTTCTGCCCCTATTTTATTTCAGCATGTGCCTGCCCTTACTCTGAGGGAGTCCGCAGCTGAAGTCGCAGCCAATGAATGTAAATGGCCATTTTTTGTATTACTTATTGCTTTATAGTTACATCAACTGACAATAATCTGGGCCCTCTCATTAAAGAATAACCAGTCTGCTTTTACATTAAAGGAGGTACTGTCCTTACCCTGTTCTCTTATGCCTGTTTTACAGGATACCACCTCTTGTTCAGGTTGGGAATAAACACCTGATTGTGCAGTTGATTTGGACTAGCTAGAGTTGTTTTACAACTAAGAAGTCTGCTGTCTACAAACACTTTGCTAACGTTCTGGTGTTTGAACAGGTGCTGGGAATCCCATTTTGGAGGAAGGTCTGTGCAGAGGGAAAGAATAGCTGCAGGGTGGGGGGAAATTATGTTCTGCAATAAAAATAATGTCAGTTCCTACAGCCTGTGCTCTTATTACAAAGATAAGTAAATCCTCATTCTAACTGATCAAGATGTTGGCACTGCATTTCAAGATGTGTATAACCTGGGCACCCCTTTGGTAATAGCTGTATATATGTGGGATGTTTTTGTCCTGTGTCCCAAACTTGTAGTTTTTGTTTCCCTTGTCTCCTGTGGCAGTCTTTGTGCCCCATATTATCTCTGGCTTTCCTTATTATTCCCAATTTACTATTTTTAAAATCTCAGCCACTTGTAGACATTCCCAGCCTCAGCTTTAAGGGCAGGTGTTATGTTTGGAAATGACAGAAATACAGCAGGTCATATGCATCCACAGAGGGAACAAGCAGATAGTGGGGGAAGAGGGGAAGATCTTACCAGTGTGTAGAGATACCTGGAGGGGGAAGAGGAGGACAGAAGACAGGGCCAGGCTCTTCTCAGTGATGCTGAGTGACAGAGCAAGAGGAAATAGGGACACACTGAAACACAGGAAATTCCATCTGAACATAAGAATAAAAATATTTACTGTGAGAGAGGACAAACACTGGAATGGGTTGCCCGGAGGGGCTGTGGAGTCTCCTTCCCGGGGATACTTAAAACTCAATAGGATGAAGTCCTGAGTTACCTGCTCGAGCTGTTCCTGCTGTGAGGTTGGGCTCAAACCCATGATCATGATCTCCACAAGAGTCTTCCAAACTCAGAGATTCTGTGAGCTGCATCACATCTGTGATTTCACTGTGTCACTACCTTTTCTTTGCTCTGCTTTCCTTTGACCTTCCAGCTCTTCTGTACCTGCTGCCAGTGCTGCTGCTTCAGAAGTGATGAGTTCGCCTGCACTCACACCCTGTTTTTGAGGTCCTTGGGAAACCAAGTTCTTCCTTGGGTTCTTGTCCTTCCCATCTTGCTGTCTGGAGGTGCTCTAAGCCTACACTTAAGAGTTTTGAGCTTGGAGATTGTTGCTCTCCTGTGGTTCCTGCACAGTGGGAGTTAGTCCCTGGATTCGTGTTCCCAAGGTGTGATGTGTGTTACGTTTGCTCCTCTGGGTCTGTTTAGCAAAAGTACACATCACGTCCTGGGTATAAGGAGGTCAAGCTTCGCACGGGCAATTTCAGCCTTGAAGATATCTTTCCTGCTGTGTATGATTAAACAACCCAGAGACTGTAGTCTGTGTAAAGGAGTCTTTACAGCTGTGTATTGATGATCTAGAAGGAGAATTTTGGAGGTATCTCCCACATGGGAAAATGTAGACTATGAACTGTGCAAAAATGGAGGATTTATCCTGCTCTCTAACAGCATTTTGTAGCAAAAGAATTCACTTCCTCTGCACACATGCTCAAATTTTCTTATAAGGCACTTGCCCTTCAAGGATTGCTTCTGTGGGAGTTCATGAAGCAGGACTGTGGACATTGTGGCTTTTAAATCTGAATTTCTAGATGTCTGGGAACTGCTGTCAGTCTGCATGAGGGTTATGCTGCTTCAGGGGACTGTGAATGTAAAAGCATTCAGAATTCACGATGCTAAATGCTTTCCTGGCCTGCCTTCCTGTTGCATTCAATTAAAAAATATTGTAAAGGTCGTAACAGTCCTAGGGAAGAGTGTTTTGGAAAGTGTTTGCTCAAAGGTGATGCGAGTGAGTTGCTGTATTGAAGAGTGGGTAGGAAGAATCTGTGTGCATGTCAGCATTTAAATGTAGGTAATTGAAGTTCTGCACTGAGATTAAAATGAGGACATTTGGGAGCACAGGTGGCTTGCACAACACTGTGGAAAAGCATGTACAAAAACACTGGACCACTGGATTTAAACCAGAAAGAAAGTCTTCCTCGTTTGCTGTGCCCTGGCACTTGAGGGGTTGTGTCATATGAGAGCAAGGTTTTAACCAGGAGCTACTAGACTTTGATCAACCTGTTTGAGTGTCAGTGTTTGCAGGTCTAGCACGTGCTTACCTCAGTAGGGTTCCTAAGACTTCACAGGCTGCTCAGGTAGTTGCTATACATTGCCTGAACATATATTTAGATTTTTTTAATGCCTTTTGCTTGTCAGTCTTTAATACAATGCAACCTTTCTAGGCCAGGATTTAACAAAGTGTCATGTTCTGATCAGGCTGTTACAAAAGCTGCCTAATAAAGAAGTTCAGTTAAGTTGAAAACCAGATTAGTAGCAACCTTGTTCTTTGAATAAGAGTGTACTGTTTGCTGCAAATGAGAAGTGTGATCTTCTCTACCAAAAGGGCACAGGAATATACAGTGTCACTTAAAATGCATTGAAATGTACTCTAGCCTTTTTACACTGATCCTTTGAGAGACTGTGATAGCTTTAAAACTGCTTACCTGCTCACTGTTTTTTTTTTTTTTTTTTTTTTCCCTGGTAAATGGAATAGCTTGAGACCTCTCCAGGCTTCATAATAGGCAGCAAGTGAAATTCCTGTTTAATAGGAATTAGAGCTTAATTTCTCCTCTGTTCTTAAGGGAATTGGTGTCTCTGAGAAAATAATTGCATACTTGGTGAGGACAGAAACTGTATTGCAGTGGTCCAGCAACCTGAGTACAACTGTGACACTATAGAAGTCACTGCAAGCAAATGGCCCTTTCAGAGACCTTACGTAACCAGGGCAGGTTTGAGTTTCCAGCAGCTCTGAGTTTGCCTTTTTATCATCTGATGTGAGAGGAGGCTTAGGATTTCAGGCTCACAATAAACCTATTCAGTGCCTCTCTTTTATTATTTTGAACAGTATCTGCAAAGTTCTCTTCATCTTTGGCTTTTCTAAAAGAAACCATTTAAAGTTAACCAAAGCAGGAATCTAGGAGTTATGAGCAGAGTATCAGTTTGTTTTGATAAGGAGCTCTGTTACTCTGGGCTCTATCTGGAGCTCTTAAATGACCCTGTTTATCACTTCGTTGTCGTGGAACTTTTAGTACTTTCCATGCAACCTGTTTATGTTTTAAGAAGACTTCAGATTACTTTTAACTCATTTATATCCAGTCTGATGGAAATTCTAGCCTTGGGCATTCTTGCTAGTCAGTTTGAAGTTAACAGTTGCTAAATGGATGACTTCATATTATACTAAATCTGTAACTTTTTCACCCACCTTCATTTACAGAATAGGAAGGACAGAATAAAATACTTCTAGGTGAGAGGAGATTAGAGTTGGAAAAGCACAGAAGGGTATTTTCCATGCGTTTTAAAGGTAGACCTGAGATTTTGCAAGTATGAGATCCTGATTGAACTGTGCCTGCTTCAAGAATAAGAACACAGATAGCAATTGTTTAAAAATAATAATAATTAAAAAAAAAACAATTGATGGAATGAAGGTCGGTTGCTTTTTGAAGTGAACCCCTGTGTTTGTTCCTCTGTTTTCTCTCGATGAGACTGAAGTCTGTCATGTTGATTGAAGGATCTGCTCTATGTACTTACTCTCCCTGCAGTTCTTAATCAGCAGGGACATCTGTTTTGTGTTAAAGCTCCTGCAGTATGTGCTGGTCCCTCTCCTGCTATAGTGAACCCCTTGTGCTTTCCTTTTCTTTGTAAATGAGAAGGTATTTTTGTGTATTATGGCTCACTGGTATGTCTGGACTGACTTACATAGGCATTTAAAGTAGATGGGTCCTGTGATTTCCAAGCCATTGGGGCAGAATCAGTGAAGTGTGAAAGGTACGGATAATAATATTAAACTAGAAGATTCTAAAACTGTTGTTTGCTTTTATTCCAGGAATGCACTCCGGAGAACCTAGACCTGAAAAAGAAGATTTTTGGTCAGTTAGATCTTATTGTTGATGACAACGTTATCCTGAGCAGCTCAACCTCCTGTCTCTTGCCTACCAAGTTGTTCACTGGCCTTAAGCACGTTAAGCAATGTATTGTGGCACATCCTGTGAGTACGATGGCATGTTCTGTTCTCATACTAAGAGTGCAGCCATGTAACTCATCCACAGCCCAAGCTCTTCTCTGCAGACTGAAAGACAGGGAAGGGTATTTGAAGTGCTTGTGTGCTGCTGTGTAGTGGTGGGCCTATCTTTTCAGGAATGCTTTATTCTGGCTGTTCCATGTGCAACAGCTAAACTACACTGAGAGCATGTGTGCACCCTGTGTACTGCTGACTCAAGACACTTCCCATCTAAGTCATTGTGCTTGTATAGCTGTTTGCTACCCAAACTAATGTCCTTCAAATTGCAGTGCTTCTATAGTTTGGAGGCAGACCTATAAAACTCCCTGCATTCCCTTATGCCATCCATTAGTTTTTTCTGAAGTCCTTTTGCAGCTGCTGTTGGGTATCAGTGAGGATGCAAACAGCAAGTTGCTTGTGCATTTTGGCACCTGTAAAACATAGGTAGTTGATGCAGATAAAAGATGGAAGATTTTGGCTCTGGTTTCATCAGGCTTAGCCTGACTAGGCTTAGCCTTTCTCCTACCTAAAATTTGGTAGTCCTTTATCATTTATTCCTAGGGGCATCACTGCAGGACAGTACAAGAAGAGATACTATCCCCTCTTCTGTGTTTCTATATGAAGTAGCTAGGACCATAACTAAAATTTCATAGCAACTTATGGACTTCTTCATTTTCTTGTTGATTTATCAGTCTTTAATTTTACATTACGCTTCCTTACTGTTTTCCCAAGTCAGTCGTATTGGTTGACCTGGTTAATTTGAGCTGCAGTCATTATAGGAGCCACTTCTGAAAGCATTTTTAGTCTGATCTGGGAAGGTGGCTGGTCCCACCATAAAGTTTCTACGTTGATGTTTTAAGGATATATGTATTTCATGAAATGAAGTATTTTTTTCCTTAACACATCTAAATATTCTGCAATGGCTTTGCAGTCTGATTGGGACCACTTTTTTAGAAGGCTCAGCTTTACTCAGAGTGGAGTGGGATGGCAAACCCTCCTGTGAGCCAGGGTGCTGTTCCAGAGGCCTTTCTTTGTCTGCCCTTCTTGCTTTGCAGTAGCTATTGCTTTTTGGTGTGGGGAATGGGTTTTGTTATTTTTTTTCCTTTTTTAACTGTGACCTTACCAACATTTTGAACAAGATGGGTACGATGTGGGGAGGGAGGGATGGCTGTAAGAAGTAAACAGCTCAGGAAGAAGCCAGTGAAGAACTGGTGAAGAAAACAGTGTGAAATTCGATATCTAAGAAAAACTAAGTTTTAAAGCCTCTGGCACAGGTGAGGAAAAGAAATAGAATTAAATGCCCAGTGGGCAGATGGAGCTCATCACTTTGCTTAGCAAAGCAATAGGCACATAGTAGTTGGAAAAAGTGAATGAAATCCAGTCATGCAGCTGTATGATAGAGATGCACAGGGAGCTTACAGGCACAGCTGTCCTCTGCAGGCACCTCCGAGCAGGGTGTTGGTAGAGCTCTTCTTCCTAGCAGCTTGTTTCTCGTATTCTGTATAAAGCTGCTAGGTCAGACAGCTAGAAAATGGAATTAGAGGAGACTGTGTTCCAGTAAGTAAGTCCATTGCTGTGCAGGAATAATAAACAGATAATAAAATCATCTCCAAAATATATTGGGTTCTATCTGTTAGATTTTTTAACTCCACTACTCATATTAGAAATTGTTTCTTTATTGTAATTTTTGGTTTTCATCGTATTAATGGTCCATTGAAATTCATTTGATATTTGCTGATAGCTAGTTGCTTGTGCTTACTTTGTCATACACTTCCTTAGATCTTGTTTTGTTAGGCTGAGTAGGATGAGTTCTTCTACTCCCTTAGGAAGGGCTTTGCATTTCCCTTCTCATTTTAGAAACCCTCTCCTGCAACCTGCTCCATCTGCATTTTTACCACTTTAAATTTTTAGCAAGGTGCATTATTCACTCCTGGAAATTAGTCTTCCTCAGTGTCCGCATTAGCATGCCCACTAAGGTACCCTCAGTGCCAAGTTCATGAAATAAAATATTTCAATAAGATCACTGTCAGGAGCAAGCATGGAGGAAGCTCATCCCCTGTCTCTCAACAGTTCGCTTGTTCTCTTCCCGATCAGAGCCTGTGATATCCCTGCGGGTTAGAAGCTCCTTTGGAGAGTTCTTGGGTCTGGCTGACTCACCTGGCAAGAGTTTTCTCCTGGCTTTGGTGGCGGCAGTGCCGGAGAGGCCGGGGCAAGAAGGGCTATGAGGCACTTGGAAGGCACCGACGCAAACGTGTTGCATGCGCCGTTGCAGCAGATGTAGCCTTATGTCAGGCTGGTCTCCCAAGCCCTACAGGAAATGGGACCATTTAAATCCTGAAAAGAAAGAGCAGAGAGAGAGGAAAGACTCCCTGTGCTGCTGTGACTAAGTCCTATATTTCCATTTATGTGAGCACGGTTCAAGGACGGCAGTTGGCTCTAATGGGGCATGGTGAAAGAATCAGTGCAGAATTACCATTCGTGGAACATCGTAGCCAGTCATGGCATGCAGTAACCGTCTGCTGCCACGTAAAGAGTGCAAGAGAATAAGACCTAAGGGCTATTGCTTTTGGAAAGAGCATGTCCTGCCCATATCTCTTAAGACCTAAAGAACTTCCAGCAGCTTCTAGGACACTCTTTAGAATTCAAGAAGTTTAAGAAGCTTTTTATTACTTCAAAAATACATTACACAAACATTGGCTTTGAGGAGAAACTGCATTTGGGAACAGTCAAGGAGATTTTTTTTTTCCTAGTGGCTACAGTGTTTGAAGGTAGCCCGTTGTGTAACTTTTTGTGTATGTTTTATATAATATCTGGCAAGGGGATTAGCATATATCAGACTTGAGTTAGTAGCAGCTTTTCTCTGAGGTGTTGCATTTTACAGGCAGTGCGTAGCAATATTTTTATTATAAATTTCCTGAATATCTAAAAGAATGTACTTAACTTGGAAAGAGATGTGGTGGCCATATGTTTTACAGAAATAAACTCGATATTGAGAAAACATCAGATAAGCAATAAAAAATCTTCTAGCATTGTTGGACTGCATTGATCTTTAGAGTAGGTCAATAAATCTAATCATCCAAGACTTATTTTTTTTTTAATTTGAATCAACAGTCCAGCTCTTACTGGATTGATTAATGCTTTCTGGGCCTAGAGATCAGGTTTACTGTGTTCAGTAACAATTACTCACACTATTAAAAAATTGCGAAAATACTTTATACTAGGTTGGCCTGTGTGTCTGCTAATAATTAACATTCTTCTTTTGTGTTTCTTCTTGAGGTAAATCCACCTTATTTTGTGCCATTGGTTGAAATTGTTCCACATCCAGAAACAGATCCTTCAACTATAGAGAGAACATATGCCCTGATGAAGAAGATGGGTCAGTCTCCTGTCAAATTAAACAAGGAGATTGAGGGGTTCGTCCTGAATCGGCTGCAGTATGCAGTGATAAGTGAAGCCTGGAGACTTGTGGGTGTATGTATAATCTTTTTTCCATTTCTGTGTGTACATAGCCAATTTTATAAGCATGACCAACAACATTTAAATTTCTTATAACATTTTGTCTTCTTCGTTAGACAGTCCCTTATGTGCATGAAAAATGAAAACAAATACATGAATTTACAACAGTAGAAAGTTTGGACAGTAACAAATAGCAAAGATTATGAAAAGGAAAGTGATATGATGATAAGTGTCCTTTATTCTGCTTTCTTTTCAGAATAGGACAACTGTAATTTTCAGGACAACCAAAAATAAAATGTTGACAGCACAGAAATCAAAATACTGTTGTTTTTTTCAGGTTGTCTTTTCATTTCCTGTTATTTTCTGAATGTTGCTCACCTATCTCACAGGGTTATGAAAATAATATTTTAAATGCATTTGTCTTTTGCCTTTTAGGAGTTCTTATTTTCAAAAGTTATTTGATACTTGTAGGTAAAGACAGATTTCTCCTCCTCCTGCCCATTCAGACATCTAGCTCAGAATCATCTGTTTGTGCCACTTCAGCTTTTCCCACAGCCAAGTGTCTTGGGCTACAAAGTCTGATCTTTCATCATAAGAGCTGAATTGAGTCTAGTGCAGTTCTGCTGAGATTAATTAGTTTTAGGAGAGCTTTTTTTTCCCCACAAAGAATGCTTTGAATTTTTAGTCTCTTTAAAACAAACATTTACACACAAAAATAGGTAAAGATTTTAAAAATATACCTATATTAACATATCATTAAAAATAGCTCTTATTCCAAAGCAATACCTAAACATAGTTGCTGAACTCATTTTACTTACCTCCTGTTAACTGCCATTAGCAATACTATGCAATAATGTAAAGTAGGTGGCGAATAAGAATACATTAAGCCTTTGTTAGGAAGAAACTGATCTTCTACTGAAGACCTTTCTTTAAATTTAAAAAGATTATGTTATTAAAAGAATAATAAAATTAGTAAGTATACTGTAAAAAGAATCCCTTCAGAAAGCTGTAGTCATGGTGAAATTCCCAGGATAGAAAGAACAGCAAGTTATTTTTGAAACCATAAGACGACTGGCCGAAAAACATTTAGGGAATAATTTGCTAAAACCGTAAAAACTACTCTTAAAGAAATTAAAAAGAAGGTAAGTCCATAGGAAAAGAAAAAAGCTAACTGAACTGTGGTGTTCACTTTAGATGACAGTGTACCCTTTTCTTAAAAGGGAGGGATTGATCTGAGGAACTGTATTATGCTGAAATAGAACAAGTCATGTGAAGAACAAAATTTTTTAGAAAAAATCAGGTAAAATGAATAATAGCAAATTAAGAAGGTGAGATGAAATGTATTTAGCAATTTCAAAACTCAAAGCTGAAGTTGATGAAATGTAGACATAAGCATCTTTTTACACATCAGTTAGCAAAACACCAAAGGAGTGGAAGCACTTAGAGCTGAATTTTAACTTTTAAGAGTTCAAAGGATAGTTGTGTTTAATAATACATAGGTACATGAATAGGATATCTTGGGTCAGTGGGAATATTGGAGAAATAATGCCTCAAATACTTAGTAGGATTCTTTTATGTCTCTGAAAGACATAAACTGAACTATGGAATTTGCAGCCAAATGGACGTTGTATGTTAACAGTGTGAATGGGTTCAGAGAATAATTAGACAAATTTATGGAGATGAATTCCACCAACGTCTGGATGCAGAAGCAGCCTCCATCTCTCAAAATCCCTGACTCCAGACAGCTGGGAGTCGAGAGGGTCTCTATGTATCATTGAGAGTATCAACTGCTTGTGGAATGATTTTAAGAATCCTTGATGAGCATCTGTCAGAAAGAAGCCATGACTTTTATGGGAGCCTGTGCTCTTAATAAGAGCACTGATGTGTACTTTTTGTGTATGTCTTTCATGAATAATAAGAAAATAATGCTTGAAGCACTGACAGACATGAAAGTTGTTTTCCTTGTGCTTCATCTAAATTTCTAAACTATTTTTTCTTTGTGTTCTGTTTTTGTATAATTTTGCTACATTTCAAGCAAATACACTTTAAACTCTAACAACTTTGATGGCCTTATTTCCGTTCCAAAAGACTAGATAAATCCCACTGCATCAAAGGTGTAGTTTCAGCTGTGTTATTTTGAGCCTTTAATAGTAAGAGAATCATTGTAGATAAGAGAGAGGTGCAGGCCTGAGGCAGTTTCTATCTTTCCACTGCACTGCCGTCAACTTTTTTAATGCAAGTCATGTTCTTTTGGTGTTTTGCGCTTTCAAAATAGGGAAAAAATGTTTCTTCTGATTTTTAAGTCACTTTTCAATCTGTGTGGTTGAGAGGTAAAGTTTTGAAAATATCAGTATCACTAACTCACAGTCTTTGAAAAACTCTTAAAATTCAAAGTTTACTCAATCTAAGAATGCCTTTCTTTCCTTGCTACAAGGGAAGATTCCCTTGCATGATTCTCTCTGGTAACGGAGCTTTCCTTAACTTAAGAAGCTCTGGAGTGTTAGTTAAATTGAGAGTGCTTGCAGTAGAGACATAGCAATATAGTATTACATTTGTCCAAAATGACCATATTACTAATCCTTCTGTGGTTCAATATGGAAATTACTGCCATTAGATTTGGCAATCTATGTCACCTTGGATGCACAACACAGATATTCTTTTGAATTTACTTATGCATGCTTTAGTACTTTAATGCCAATGATTGTGTATTACTTTCAACTGTTGTAAGGAGCAGTGAAACAGAAGTATGAGACATAATTTCACGTTCGCTTATATTTCTACTGGTTGTGAAGGTCTGAACATTATTTGTTATATATTGATCAGTATTTCTATTTCTGTTTTAAGTGTTCTTTGATTTTTTTTTAATATGGTGCTTGGAAAAATCTGCCTTGTTGATAGAGGACTCCTGTATCTGCCCTGCACTGTATCAGGTTTTCAGCATCTGAGACAAATATTTTGAATACAGGGGCCATATATGAACCAAGGAAGAAAAATAGTGGCAATCTTGATAAGTATTGTGAAGTCACTTGAAATAGTCTTAAATCAGCCCCTTTATGCAAACAGCATCTGTTTGTGAGGACCTTGAGAAATGAGCTTGAATGTTCTCATCTGGGCTCTCACCTCAAAAATATTCATAGTAATAGCAAGCGAGTGATTTTATACATGCGTATACATGCAGGTACAGTTGTGTTAATAATGTTTGCTTGGAAAAGCTTGTCAGGAGTAGACTGAAAAGCTTGCAGACTGTATTTTAGTTCCTCAATGTAGCCTGGCAACTGATGACCTTTAAGCCCCTCCGTTTTCTTTGGCAGTGCTGTACTGGGATGTGTGGTGTGTGAGGCCTGGGATGTGGGTCGTATGCTGGGAGAAGACCATATGCCTGTGGTCTTCTGGACTATGACTATGTCTTTTGGTGGGCACAATTTGAACATGAAACTATCAGTGCAGTCCTGAAACCTCCATCCCTTGCTGGGAATTCACATGCTTAAGTAGAACTGGTTGGTGGATCATGCGTTGGGGTAACCAACTTCTGCCACGTGGCTGCAAGAGCAGGAGAGGCTGCAACAGCGCCAGAAGTCCGAGGTGAGGCCCTGCCAGGAGCACTGGGAATGCAGGACTGGGCCACGCTTGGGAATGGGAAGTGTAGTGGTAAGGTGGTGGCAAAATTAGAAGACAAGGCAGTTGTAGGAAATTAAGAGAATCAAGGCTGGTTTGGAAACATACAGTGGATGCAAGGAAGAGGATTTTGGCCATGTGGATGTTTTGGAATGTGGTTTTAAGAATGCACAACTTTGACTTTTAACTAAATACTTAAATCCTTTTAAAAGTATCCAGAAGCAAAAGCCATAGTTTCATTTATGGGTCTAAAAGAAGGAATTCAAGAAAGCACTCTCCTTTGAGGCAAGCATGCTGAAATGAAGCAGTTTATGACGGATCCAAGTTGGTCTTTCATGTGACAAAATGTCTTTTTGAACATTATTTTGACTTACAAGTCGCAATAGCACTCTGGCAGTGCTGGTGTTTATGGCAGGAAAATTTTGCATCACTTATCTCTCTCTCTCCATGTTTCATATTTTTTTCATAAAAATGTAGATACTGCAGACACTGCAGTGGTATCTTCATCTGCACATGTCTTTAAGGTCACGTATCTGAGAACTTGTTGCAAGAAGTTTACATAGGAACATCTAGCATATATGAGGCTGAAGTTCCTGTAGTTTTTTTATTTATGTTTTTAATTCCTCCATCTCTGTTATATTGTTTTAGTGTTGATTATGGTGAGAATAGGAGACTTACTGTGAGATACTGAGGCTGAAGATCCTTATGCCTCTGATATTCGTAGTCTTCATGACACTAAATTTTGTTATTACAAACCAGGAACTATTAGAATGATCTGTAGCCAGTAGTAGGAAAAATATCTCTGCTTTCTCTGTTATTCTCCGTTGTCATTTATTTACTCTTTCATACTTCCACTGACAGTGTCACTGGTGTATCTGATTCAGTTCACAGCTCCTTGGAGCATAGGCTTATCCTGTTTATTTGCCCAGAGAGCACCCTGTACCCTACTTACATGATTGCTTTGGATTGATTGCAAAATCCCATTTGCAGATTCTTAACAGTACAAGTACATTTGTTAGTAGCACAGTATTAGTTTACAAAAGAAAAGTAAAAAATAGCTGGAATCTGTCTCCTTCTGAAGATCCTCTATAAGGTTTTAGTTGACTCTATCCAGAAAGTAGCAACCAAACCATTTCAGTGCTGCATTAGATCAAAAGTTTCAAACCTTATTTTGAACATTCCTGACTATCCTTTTACTATTGATAGCTGTCTAGAAGTTTAGCTGGGTGAAATATTTTTCTAAGCATCATTGGGAATTTTTGCAAGGGTGTCATGAAATACAGCAGCAGAAGTAGGTGAGGAAAACACAGCAGTTCTTTAACCCTGATCTCATTTAGGAGATTCACTGCTTTTGTGAACCCGCTATAATTATTTTGTATGTTGGATCTTCGGTATATGTC